GAAGGCCTTATCGTTCATACTCACGTGGTTCAAATTAGGTCCATTTAATTTTTATGGTAAATTACTATCGTGAAGAAATTTTCATCATTAAATATTAGCGTATAAAGGTTTACCTTTCCTGAGAGCCCTCATACGCGCTGGTACGCGAGGTAAAGAGCTACGTGATCCAAATTCAGTAAGGTTGATTTCTTTATCAATTTACTATTACGAACCAATTTTCGCTTTGAAATACTGAAGATTAGGCCTTTTTGCTATATAAAGATTCAGATTTTGTCGGAACAGTTATAGAAGATCGGGATCAAGAAATTGCCCTAGTCGAATATAAATTTTCATTCCAATTTACAATGTCGAAATACTGCTACTTGAAGAGTTTTGTCGAAAAATTTGGAGAAATCCTTGTATGGGCAGTAATCGAAAAAGTCAACCGATTCGAGCCGTTTTCAAGGGCGTTTGTCCTTCGGCGAAAGGGCATCAGTGTATCAAATTTCATAAAAATTTCTCAAAAATGGCGACGTTTAGGTGGAACACACATATACAAGCATACACATCAGGCGGACAGATGGACAGACAAACTTAGATCGATTCAGAAAGCGATTCCGAATCGATCGGCATAATATAAGGTCTATGGGTGTTAATATACTTTACTATACTACAAGTGCTGTGAGGTATAAATATCAGTTTTCGGTAGTAGAAATATGGTCCGTAACAATTCGCTGCGGCCACTATCCGGAGTAGTACTACGGCAGCAAATCAAAAAAATAAAATTTTGCTTTGTTTACTCTTTTTTTCAAAATATTAGATATGAACCTAAAATTAAGCTTAGAGTGAATTTTTCAGGAAACTACCAGCTACCAATTAAACGGATATTCCCAATTAGCAGTGAGCTGGTAAGCAAAATTACCTCAATAAATTTTAATTTAAATAGTATTGAAGGCTATGAAATGAAGCAAGGATAGGCATGGCGGGTTTCTACAATTTCCCTTAAGCAAAATGAAATATTTTAATAATACTTGTTGAATTTGCCGAATTTCAAGCAAGAATGTCAAGCATAAAGATTGTTTAAAAATTGTCTACTCATTAAATGATTTAATTTTAAATTTTTCGAAAAAATGTTCATTTTGTGCAATTAAATTTTGCTTTAAACCATTTTATCATGCGACTGTAAAGCGGCTCACGTTACAAATTCAGAGGGTTGAAGAATCTATCTATGGCCAGCATTAATCATTTGAACCCTAACTTTATAACAACAAGAATAAACGCAATACCACGAAATCAGATGTAATGTAAGTGAAAGAATTTTTATGACTACATCAACAGCGACGACTTTGTTCAGACGCGAATGTATAACCGTTTGGCTGGCTGCTTGATGGCTGACTGACTGACTCAGTAATGGTAAGGATAAGAGGTTTTTTTGGATCGTTGTGCGTGTATGCGTTTGAATGTAAGTAGATTTCTGTGTGAACACGTGGTCTCGATCACATGAAGGTATTAACGTGTAACATCGGATGCATGATTAAATTTGATGTCTTTGGCCAGCGCGAATAATGGCTAGTGAGACCAGTAGAATTTTAGCATGCACGCCACCTTCTCTCCAATACTACTACACAGTTTCACAGTTTTTCATGTAACAAAGTAATGTTATTGCACACGTACATGCTTCACTCTTAACTGTAAATGCATTAAAACACGCAACTGCGGTTTTACTTTCTATCTTTGTCATTTGACATCGCAGTTAGCCGGGTACGATTTGATGGAATGGTATTCTTTTATTTTTTTTTTTGCAGTAATTTTATTTTCTCTGAATATGTACATATATATATATATGTGTATATATATATATTGGCTTGTCTTTACTAAGAAAAATCTTTAATTTTTCACTATACACCACTTTGAAATGTTTACATATGCGATTAATATTTTTCTTATGGATTTTTTAAGTTTTAAACACACTTTATATTTATTTGTTTTAAATATGCAAATTTTTTATGAAAAAAATACTGAAGGAATTTTTTTAGTCTTATTGTTAACAAAATGCTTGCCAGAGTTATTTTCACTTTAACAGAGCAACAACCTCTGTACGATTTATTTTAAAACAGTTCAATAATTTCCGATTTTAAAAGTATTGCATTGCCTAGTTAATGGAAGCAGTTGTAGTAAATACCCAACAAGCGCGCTTTACGCAACTTTTAAGTTAAACTCAAGTTATGCAAAGTTTCTAAATAGTTCATATAAGCATAGGTTTCTTAAGGATTTCATTTGATTCAATCTCTTCTGCACAAAAATTATCGCAAATTTTGTGACCTGTAATTTGAGCGCAAAAGCACAAGCCAGACAGACAAATTTAGGTCGATGTAGAAATTGATTCTGATCGGTATACTAATAAATCAAATTCTTCTAGGTTATGCTCATGTTCGCACAAACTTGCTACCCTCTTCCACCACAAGTAGTGTAGGGTATAATAAGATATAGAATGTTTATCTAACCGCTAAACAATTTTTTATTATGCGTTCGAATGGGCGTGTAGGCAAAGAGTCTCGGGTGCGGTGAAGTTTTCAGTAAAGCCGATAGCCTTAGATGATAATGCTTTAAAGCTTTGGTTTTAGAATTTATTCTAAGGCTAAATTAATAATAACAATAATAATATATTCACCATCAAAAGAAGAGGGTGTATATGTTTTGCAAAGCGTTTACAACACCGCGAAAAGAGATCTTCGAAGTCTTTACAAAGTACATATATTCTTCACCAGCATCAAATTCTGAACCGACAGAAGCAAGTCCATATGTTCGTCTGTCCAAATATGCAATGTTTGTGATAAAGGTGCTCCTGTTCCCAAAAATTCGGATATCGAGTTCAAATTTGGCGAAAACATTAGCAATTCTTCCAAGCCAGGTTAATACCTAGGCCAGATCGGTCAAAGGGCGCGTCCATAGTGACACATGAGCTAAGTACACCTGTGATTGCTGGGCTTTTTGCTTATTACTCATAAACCGCACCGCATACACCCGATAGAAATTTCCATTTATATCCTAGAAAAGTAGAAAAAATTAGCTACGCCTGCGCTATATTATAGAAAGCGAAAGTTTAGCCTTGTTACTTAAAAGCAATAAACGAATAGAATACTCTTGTTTCAATAGAATCATAACGTAGTATCATTCGCAATAACTCGGTCGAAAAGTATGTTACTTTTTTATTCATTTTAGTAGGGATCAACCAACAATACGGTGAAGAAGGAATAAAAGGAAAGAAATCAAGCTATCCGCACTGCACCAATGACGTCTTCATCTGTTACAAAAGCTGTTATTAAGAAATTGCACAAGAATTTAAATAAATTTATCAGCCAACATAAGTTTAAGTTTAAGACTATGCATGTGCAGGACCAAGACATTACAGGAAAATTGAAGGATAAGAAAAGCAATACTTAGGGAAAAGCTGCGTAGCGATAAGAATTTTGTATAATCAAAACAAAGGAAGTCAAAATATAAAATTTCAATAAAATGTCTAGGAAATTTAGAATGTGTTTTAGTGGGGCTTAACCACGAAAATATATCGATGATCGCCGAACCAAAAGAAGCCCAAACATCTTATGCAATATTGTGATATAGGATACGCGAATCAAAACGAGATTTAGGGAATAAAAGAATAAATATTTTATAATAAACCGCTTTCGCACACTCTTTCCTAACCTAGTCTAAACTATCGCTAACCGTCGGTTTAGTTTTTCTTTCATTCTTCAAAAGAGGAATCTATCGTGAACCAAATTGAAGGGAAGATTTGATTAACGCACAAATATAATAAGCAACAAAGTTACATTCGACTGGTGCCGAATCCGGCATAACCACCGCCATTAAAATCTTTATCGGCTCATGCTTTTATGTATAGTTATGAAAAAGTGAATGGAATAAAAATTATCTTTCACTAAAATAAAAAAACTTATTAACCATCTCGTAACATCCATCAAAACTAATTTCTTGTCTCCAAGTCCTCTTATTTTATACCCACAAAATAGTGGCATTATTAAGAAAAAATTAATCTACCATGCCGTGGTGTTCACCATATTTATTTCAGAATTAACACGATCTTCATTTAAGGAACGAACAAAATAGTTTCGAACATTGACCTTATCGTTAATAAACATAAGACCTCAAATAACTGAAAAATAGAAAATTTAATCATTTGTAACTTTGTGTAAGCAATATATTCACTATCGTGATCGGTGGTCTTTTGTCTCTAAGCAGATAGCTTGTGAATAGCCGCTCGGTGGGAACTTCGTGATTCCTAGTCAAAATACTCATCGACCCACATTCGCAAATCTTTAACCTTGCAGGCTGATTGAACTGCTAAATACGACATCATCGCTAACGAGAAGGAAACGCGCTCACAGAGAATACGATGCGATCGTAACATGACTCCGGATAGAGATGAAGATGACTTCTTAAATTGCTTTTGCTGTACGTGGACGGACGGACATCTGCGAATTTTCATCGTTTTCAAGGCTACAATTTCTCCCATGAAATCTCGCAAATCACTTTCTAATTATTTGATAGTTTACTGCGTTTTCACGGCAAGCCAACTTAATTATTTCCGTAGATCCCGCTTAAGTTATTTCAAAAAAACTCCGTGCCGCAAATGATATCCATCTTTGGACGTCGTAAGTGATACACTAAATGACGGGTTATAAAAAGGTAAAATTTATACCGTGTAAGCATCAATGTCCCGATTACTTATAACCAAAATTTCGGAAAAATTAAACGCATCGTGTGAGCTGTACGAGGCTCGCAATTTCAAGGGACCGGACTTACGTACTGTACACATCCTAACCTGCTGTACACGTCTGCATCAATAAATCTTCGATTTCCATCTGTTGACGCCAACGAAAGTATTTCTGATAACTTTGTTAAATGAAAGCTTCCATTGAACTGATTCTTCTTCTTGCGCATTCTCATTTTAAACTCTATACCATCTTTACATGAATTTAACTAATATTTTACTTGTATTGACTTGAATTGTTTTACTTTTTTTTTGCTTTTTTGCATATAATACAATGAATAAGTGAACGAAAGGTAATTGTTTCATTTCAGCTATTGATGTAAAATTAATCAATTATTCCCAAAACACGTGCCTTACTCATGAAATCAGTTCTTTGTATGTAACAGCCAGTCATGGTACGATGACCGGTGTAAGAATGCCTTCCATGATAAATGCGCCAATTGTCGAATATAACTATAGTGCCCGGTTGAAGTTTCAGACACCATTTATTTACAGGATCTTGAACAATTTGCAAAAATTTGCGAAAACTCTCATAAAATTTTGGCATTTCGCGTTGTGGCAAAGTATTGAAAACAGCGCGATCGTAAACATTTAAACGTAACTGAACAATATCACCCCTCACAGGATCTGTGCATATTAATGGAGCTGAGTGCTTATGATGTTGCCCCGCTTCTATATATTCAGCTGGTACAAGAACTTTGGTTAATATATCGAAATATCCAGGATGCGAACGTTTCAATTCGTAAGCCGCATTCAAACCGTCAACAAAGAAATTTTCTCCTCCCGTACCGTTTAAATGTTGCAGACAATGCAAAACTTGTAAGCCGGCCGCATCACAAAAATAAGTATTATCTGTATGAGAGCCTAAATAATCTTTTGAATAAGCGGTATCTGAATGATCGGGAGCATCACTAAAGGTAAACATTTCTCCAAAAAAGGTTTTCATTATCGGAAATATACGACGTACAGCCATTTCAGTCATAGTGGTATTGGCCGGCACCTGTTGTATAAATACAATGCCATATTGCACCAAAACTTTAACTAAATTTTTAACGCAAACGTCCGAAGACACGACATGGGTGAATTTAAACTTCAAATCGTTTTCTTTCGCTAAAATTTCCGATAATCTCCAAGGGGTTCTTAAATCGTTAAGCAATACAATCTTATCCACTTGCGAATTGTATAGAAAATCTAGCTCGTATTCTGAGCAATGGCCATCATTCCCTTAAAATGAATAGAATTAAAATATAAAATCTATCTTAAACTTTTCTTTTTTTCTACATTTCACTTTTAGTAATTTTCCATCTTCTGTGCTATGCCAATCTTTAACCGCAATATCATCTGGCAAGTCTAATAAATTATATTTCCTTTGCTTTGTCACTTCGTTATAGCATTCTGAGCAGCGGCAATGATCTCTTAACCAAAATTGATTGAATTTTAATCTTTCGCCGGTGTATTCATATTTAAGTTCCAACATTTGTATATTCTTTCTTAAAAATTTTCCGTAATATGTTCGAATCTCAATCTTAGAAACACAACTGACTTTTATTGCTCTTTCAGTCCCACAAGGCAGGCAAGATAGGCTCAAACGCTTAATATTATGATAAGAATCATATAATAATAACTTATCGCATGTACTTGTTTTCTCTCCTTTATGCATTATGCGTATGTATATGAATTTATTTATAGTTGCATTATTGATAACAACACAAATATAAATACAGACAGAGAATTCTCTGTTTAATGAAAAATTATCATATGTGTACATATAAGTCTCAATGAAAAATATATATTTTTCTTTCTAGTTTAGTAGTAATGTTTACTAATATATTAGTTTGGGGAAAAAGTAATCCATTATTTTTTCGGTAGATGGCTGCACTGATAGATTTCTTGTAAAGTATCGATCAAACAATTTCAGATTTATGCTCGTTGGAAAGGTGACATTTCGCAGTAAAAAAAATTCTTTTGCTGTTTTTTGTTTGGTGCATTCAGTTGTGAGTTACAGCGTGTTAAAAATGGAAGTGAACAAAGAGAAAATTCGGTACATTTTACAGTTTTTCTTTGACAAAGGCGAAAATGCAAGCCAGGCGGCTAAAATTGTGAATGGTGTTTATGGTTTCGATACTGTAACAGCCAATTATGCGCAATTTTGGTTTCGTAGATTCCGTTCAGGAATTTTTGATGTTAAAGATGCACCTCGCACAGGTAGGCCGGTCGTCGAAAATCGGAGAAATGATCGAAGCTCCATATGGCCAAACGCTAAATTCTGATCTCTACTGTCAACAACTGGACCGTTTGAAGATAGCGATTGACCAGAAACCGCCAGAATTGGCCAACAGGAGAGGTGTCGTGTTCCACCAGGATAACGCTAGGCCACACACACCTGCAGTGACTCGCCAGAAACTTCGGGAGCTTGGTTGGGAATTTTTAATGCATTCGCCGTACAGTCCCGACTTGGCACCAAGCGATTATCATCTTTTTCTTGCATTGCAAAATTTCTTTAATGATAAAAAATTGGAATCTAGGGAGGATTGTGAAAATCGACTACTAGAGTTTTTTGCAAATAGAGACCAGGACTTCTATGAGAGAGGCATTTTGAAGTTACCTTTAAAATGGCAACAAATCGTACAACAAAACGGTGCATATTTGACCCAAATCGGACAGTCCGAAGCATGTTAAATAAAGTCCTGAAGTTCATATAAAAATAATGGATTTCTTTTTCCCCAAACTAATAGCTGAAGATGATGGCCCACCAGGATAGCCCACATCTTTGAAGGGTTATGTCTTTGCTAAAAATGTCTTTCCCTTATCGCGAAATAAAAAAAAAGCATAAAATGTATGTCAAAATTAAACATTTAAGAAAATTATATTCGATTCGGTGACCGATTCTTTTTTACCCATCACCGTTATCTTAAAAAAGAAAAAATCACAGTTGTTACAGAATACAGAATACATAGAATATGCGTTTAGATTTTTATACATTCCTCTGCTATTGTTTACGGGTAATGAGCAAAAAATCAATTATTTATTCCTTTTGGAAAACATAGGTGTTCGCAGTTTACGTGGTCCTGTGAACGTATCCTTCGACCGATGTGGCTCATTTTCAACATCAACCTGCGTGCAAGAATTTCGCATATTTCTGCAATATTTGACGACGGCCAAGAGAATGTTTAAAACACACATTACAAAGACGGACAGACAGACATGCTTAAATCGATTTAGAATTTGAGGCGGATTAAGAATATATGTACTTTGCGGTGTCTTTGATGCTTCCGTCTGGGTGTTGCAATTGTTTACTTGTCCATCTGTTTGTTTGCGCATCTCTGTAGTATTCTATATATAAATAATCTTTTTATACCAATCCGTAAAGAATAAGGATGGGTTCGTTCTGTGGAAATCTTTACACCAGTCAAAAGAAATCAGAGAGAGAGAGAGAGAGAGAGAGAGAGAGAGAGAGAGAGAGAGATTATATATATTATATATATGTAATTTTGATTAGCATTAAAGTCTGAATTCGTTTAAACACGTTCGTCGATCCGTGTAAACCGTCCGTGTCTCCTGGCTGCAAAAGTGAAGATGCCGTGAGGCTTGAAATTTAACAGGAAAGCAACATAAACGGAGAACACATTCTTTTTTGACTAGCAACGCACACATTAGCGTTTCTATGCACTACTACTCGTAAACTACAATAGATAGAAAAACCAAAATTTCCATTTACATGCTATGGATAACTGCACAGATATGGAACAAATTGGCCAACCAATGTTAAAGAGAAACGAGATTTCATTTTTTTCATTTTCCTTAACTTTTAATTGATAATAAGAACTTAAATTGGGATTTTACGAGAACGCATATTGTCAAAATATATTTTAAAAAATCTTTTTTTCGAAAGAAGTATCGGAAATCATTTACTCGAAATGTCGAATTTTCGGCATTCGAATTTCTTTTATTAAAAGTTAATATGCGGCTGATGCATCTGCTTTCGTGTGGATGTGCATACTCCTTTTATAAATATATACTGATGTATATTGAGAAACAAGGCGAAATAAAATCGAAAATGATCTTACAAATGTGACATATTTTGCCATACATACGTATAAATATTTGAAATTTTGATGTAATCATCTTCTAATCAGATTTTAAGTTATTCTTGCAAACTTGTACATTATAAGTACATATCTACATCTTCTTTTGATCAGATTTCCATTCTCAGCTGTTTAATCATTTTGGGTTATCCATCCATTCCCTTGTCGTTCTGCATTAATTGCTGAAGCATACTTGTTGCAATAATTCTTATATAGAAAATCCAATTATGTATTGAATTGCATACGTTAAGCATTCGAAAATATTGTCAGAATATATTGGTTTTCGAAAAGAGAGGTCGCGAGGTTGATAACAATCGCTTGTCCACGCTAATAAACGTTTCATCATTTACAACATTATTTACCTTATTCGAGAGACTAATTAATATACCTATGAAATGAATAAGCAGCGAATACGACTCGAATCTGTCTCACTCTACGTGATTTTCTTCTTCATTTCTCTGGCATCATTTGACTAAACATGCCTTTGGCTGGATGGCAAGAACTTTGCGAAGCTAACATGCACGTTCGTCTATATTTCTATTTTTCAAGTCTGAGTAAATTATAGACAATGTTGTTTTTGTTTTGCACTTTATACATAATTTATTTAAAGTTTTTTTGTTGTTTCTCATGCTTAACTTTTCCGTTTGACTTTAGTTTCTTTTTTTTCTTTTTTTTTTTTTTTTTGACCAATGAATATTTCACAATTATGTATATGTGTTATTGTAGGTGTATATATCTCCATGTATATAGATATTTATAATTTGTCTGAGAATATATATATATATATGTATATATATATATATATAATTATTGTATAAATTAATACATTTTTATATATTAAATAGACTTTAAGTCAGTTTAGATTAAACAAGAAACAGTAAAAAAATAGAAACAATAATAATAATAATAATAAAAAATTTTAATTAAAAAAATTTATGTAAAAAGCTTAAAAGCTAACAAACCAAGTCACTCATATAAGTAATAATATTGACTTGAGTAGATAATTAAAAAAAAATTTACTAAATATTATTTAATAAAAAATAAAATAAATTAAATATATATGTGTAGCAAATAAATTTGACAGCCATATTTCCTTTCTTTTTTCTTTTTTTTTTTTTTAAATTTAAAACATATAAAGTGAAATGGATAGAGATGGAGTTAAATGATTTTCCTAAGATAGTAGAATATACAAAATAAATATTATTGAAAGTAGAATACAACTGTGTCTTAGTTGCTTTTGTTAGTTATTTCTTAAGAAATATACATAACTTATTTTAAAAATTCTGTCATTTATTTTTTTTTTAACTATATTTAAAGAATTTCTGTTTTTTTCTAATTTTTTCTATTAATTATGAATTATTATTGTTTTTTTTTTTTGTTTTTTTTTTGAGTTCCTTTTGTTGCTAATAAATGACTTTTCCTTATGTATAGAATTTTTCTTTTTCATTTAAATTTTTTTGGTTTTGCTTGCATTTAAAGGTACTTTTGCTAATTTGTTTTGCTAAATTTATGGTAGTTTACTAATTGTCCAAAGATTTTGCTCGCAATTGACTGAAGCAAGCCTGACATACACGTACAGGTTTAAGAATACGTAAACGTGATATTTCTGACTCGAAACGACTGCATTTATTGCAAAACACTTGACCGCAGTTACGACAATGATGTTTACGTTCATAGAGGCTAAATCTTTAAAAGAAATTGAAAAACAGTGAAAGACAATGAGAGGGAAAAAATAATTTAAAAAGTTGTATTCCAGTTTAATAGAGATTTAACTCACTTGACGTGACATTTAACGCATTGGTCGGCTCCTTCATCTTTAAGCCAATGATCGGCAACACCTCGACCAGGCTGTTCCGTAACACACCAAGAATAAATGCGTCCACGAGCATCACCTTTCAGTAAATCAATGTTAAGCACATTTGCACATATTTGGTGTGGCAATTAACATAGCATAGCATAGCATAAGACTACGCGAAATTTCAATTCATTATTGCCAGCAGATTTTCAATACATAATTTTTATCGAATTTATGATTTTATATTACGCTACCGATAATATCGAATGCAGACAATCAGGTCAACTTTGCCAAATCGGTCATAAGAAAGTGTAACGGTTTAGTATGTAAAAAGCTTAACATGATACAAGTATTATTAGTCAAATAATCAAGTTACAGAAAATTTTGATTTTAAACCAAATCGAGTTTTTGACCATCCCCAAGGAAATAAGAAAACGAAAAAATCATTTAAAAAAATCGGTTTATCATCTTGTAATAGAATATTCTGTTCTATTATGTATGTTAATTTTTTCCTTCCTTTTGCTTCAATCGATTCAATCGATAGGAAATAACTCCCGTTTCTTTAGTAAGCGTAGTATAAAAGAAAAAGTGAAGAGGTGGGACTTTAAAGAAGCTACGTCAGGATGACCTAGCTGGAAACCAGCAAAAACATACAACTAACAATGACCATTCACTTTCAATAAGTATCTGTTGAAAACACTCTGCTCTCATTACAAAATTTCTTTCATTATTTGCCTGCCACACTTGAATACATTATATGTCTTATACTTACCGACATATAGTATCTTATGGTCTCGCGATACGGTTAGAGCGGTTATACTAGCAGGCTCAGCATTATCTTTACGATCGTAAGCAGTATGCATCGTAAGCTTGGATCTAAACAGTAGCTGACGTTGCCATTTAAAACCTAAATTAAAACAGATTCATATTTTCATATTTTTCAATAATTATCAATAATCAAGAAGCGGATTAAACCTTTTTTTAGCATGTGATCGCTTTTGATTTTATCATTTTCAATCATGACAAAGCTATCGGTAAGGCTAGTATCCGATTTACTGGGACGTATAGTAGCGCGCTCTTCTTCTATATCCGTATATCAACATATCGAAAGAATTATTCATTTTCTGTTATCATTATAAATTATCTGAAAACAAAGACAAACCTTCATTTGGCTTAATATGCGCTGTTTCCTCAACAGTCGAAGATTTAATCTCAAGCAATGATTTGGCGCCGGAAAATGAACTCTTTCGTCTCTCCGAATTTGTTATTAAGTATTCGCTATCCTTTATAGGCTTTTCGGATTGGGTAGAAGTGTTTGTATGATTTGAAGTTTCCGATACGCTACTTTCTGAAGCAGATTTCTGAATATCTAAGATGAGCAGAAAAAGCACTTAAAGACTTTCTAAACCGACGGATTTAGAACAATTTGCTTTTACCACTTTCATGAGGTGATGATATGTTTGTTGGCATTTGTTTACAAATTTTTTTACCATCCAGTTTATTCGATTCATGCTCTTCTTCGGCTTTATCGAAACTTTTGCTATCGAATTTTTCTTGAGATTTAACTTCAGGGCTTCGCTTTAATTTGCGTTCTGCAGGGACTTGAGCATATTCTAAAGACCACATCTAAAATATATGTGAAGATATTTACGAATCTTTCATCATCAGCTTCAAAACAAGTACAAAAGTATTTACCCTAACCACACCATCTGTTGATCCTGTTAAAATAACGTTTTGACCATCCCATTCTCGTATTTGCGAGAAAGCTACACATAAGATTTGTTGCATGCGATCGGCACTACCCACGGAAGTGTTGACTGTTGCCAAGGCGTCACCATTTATGGACCACACATGCAGCCAAGTTGCTGAGCAAGTAGCCACATCACCAGTTAATTCATTGATAGCTACGGCCGCAACCACACCGGCATGATCTCTCAGCTGTCTAACAAAAGTGAAACGTGCCATATCCCAAACTATAGCCGTGCCATCGCGTGATCCCGAGACTATAACGTTATATGCCGCACTAGCGGTCAAAGATGTGACCGCATCAGTATGCCCATGTAAAGAATGACGCACGGTTAAGTTTTTCCGATTGGCGTCAAATTTCCAAATGGTTATCACTGAACTAGTGCCAGCGGTAATAATGGTTTTTGAATTTGGACAGGCGCATGCTAGAATTTCTCCGGAATTTTGACCAGCCGCTTCAGAAACAAACGAGGCTCGATCAGTATCGTAAAGACCCACACGCAACGAATGGTCAGCGAAGCCCCAAGCAATGTATTTGGTATAAGAAGGAGGCATCATTACCTAAAAATGGTTGCTTTTCAATTTTGTCAATTTTATATATCGTAAATTAACAGCTTACCTTATTCTGCTCCACAGCGAAGACTGTCTTGTCGGGTTGCAATATTTGCCCTACTGGTCCCTTTAGTTCTTTAATGGGCTGCAGGCTCGGTTTTAAGTTATCTAAATTATGGAAGAACAATCGATCCGATTGCAAGACTGTAGTATTGCCTTGAATTAAAGCACTGGGATCTATTAAAGTAGAATGTCTAGATGTGGACATTTTCTTGGCAGGATGAGGTTTTTTAAATAACTGCTTGGGTATTTGGCCAAAGTTATTAATGAAACCTATAGTGGCGTTCTTTTTTAAAGGATCATCAATGCTTTAAAGAAAACATATGGAAAATTTTCTTTTTGATTTCCCAAGCAACTTTTTTATAACAACAAGCGCTAAAAAAACTTACTTGTAAATATCAACGTTGCCCTCATAGAATAAATGATGAAATACATTAACAGCTTCCATAGCAGCCACACCTTGCTGTTTATAACCAAAAATCAAATCGATCCACTGAAAATATAAATGAAGTTAGCTTTAAATCGGAAGAGTTTCGGTGCGTAGAGCTCTCACCAAATGTAAATTTTGGCTAACATAATCACACTCTAAGGCACTCCGATGCACTCTTATGAACTCTCTTGGGTCTTGTTTAGCCCAAGGTGGCAAAATTACATGATTTAATGTTTCGCCATTTTGTTTCGTACCTAAAGTGTTAACAAATTTTTTTTGAAAATTGTCGTGTTATCATAAATTTTGCAAATATACCTAAATCAAAATTATTTGCGTTCGTTATAAACTCAGGTAGATAGAAGAATTCCGGTATTAATTCCTTAACATCAGCCATGTTAAATTTGGAAGCAGAAAGCCAGGCTTCTTTAATACTGTGAAACATACGGTCAGCCAAATCAAAATGGCCGCCTTGCAAGCGTAGAAAATGTTGTGTAAAAGGTTCTAAACGCACCAAATACGAGCATACAATCATTGCCGAGCTATAATGCGTACCGTAATGATAGGGCGGTGTCTCGCCGTGAGGATCATCCCACTCCTAAATTATTACAAAGTAATCAGCGGATATAACAAAGCTTTTCTAGTAAACTCACCTTAAAACGCTTCTGGAACTGCTCTAAACGTTCGTCAGATTGCGCGCCCATAGGTTTGGAGAAGTCGCGGAATGTCTTTGAATTTGTCAAATCTAACTCTTCGGAATCATAATCGGCCAGTATCCAAGGAAATACTGGATATTGCATAAGATCATTATAAGATCGGCCAGCTAAAGTATTTAAATGCATTAAATACTGGAAATTTGAAATTTCGCCGCGCTATCAAAATATTAATACGATTTATTGGAAACGATAACACATTTTCCCATTCGTACCACTAACTTACCACCCATCTTTGCGTCACTGAAGTCTCGCCAATAAGACTGCTAAATATTCCGGAAGTTTGTTCAACGCTGGCGGTCCGTTTTTGGCCAGCTACCGACTGTTGAGCATTGTCATTAATAGCCGTTGCATGAGTCATAAATCGTTGGTAAACCTGGCAATGAAAAATGCAAAAATAAATACATCTTTCCCATTCACGTAAGCGTAGAGAGAGAGAGAGAGAGAGAGAGAGAGAGAGAGATTTCTTACTTTATTGCGCACTTTTCGAGGAAAACTCAATAGATAATTACGCCCATCTTCGGAAAAGACCTCCAAAGCAATCGGTTGCAATAAATAACGTCTTTTATGGACTTCGCGTATTTCTTCGTAGGCGAATTTAGAACATTGGCGTATCTTTTGTGAACGTGTCGAACTGCTTGAATTTGGTATGATCGGCTCATAAGCTCCGCTTGGCAACGTATCGATATCTCGAATTTCACGATTCTTCAGCAAAGTAAAACCATCAACAATATAACAATGCTCTTTGCCGAAGAGTAGCAAGCCTTCAAAAGTATCCAAACCTTGTATGCGCGCACAGCGAAACATAAACGAGATTTTCTCTTGTTCTTCCAATAAACGCAGAAATGTTTCGTTATCCGACATCATAGACATATCGTCATCCTCATCATCTCCGTCGTCTTGGTTACTGCTGTCCAGGGACTCTTGACCCAGACGAGCACGTTGTTCCGTCGGTGATTGAGGAGGGGTGACCGTGAGTACGCCTGGTTCACTTTTCGAATTCTGAAGAGGAGGATGTTGCTGGTGCTGATTCTGGATCAAATGCTTTTGACTAGTATCTATGGAGTGTTGGTGTTGTAAGAATTGTTGCGTTTCCGGCTCACAAAGTATTCGTGGTGTTTGTTGACCATGCATATAATAGAGTTTGCTGTCAAAACTTGAAGCCACTTTATACTTTAATTGACGATTATCGGTTAAATCAATTTCAGGCCGATACGGATAGTGCAAATAAAACATATCGTTTCTCATGGTCTTTTTTCGCATACGATGAGGACCTTCAGTGGTATCTAGAATCCACTTATCTAAGCTTGAATTACCTTCGGGGCCCCAAAGACCTCTTTCACGTGTCAGTTCGGTTTCCGATTGTATCCAATCTTGATAGACATAGCGTTGGGTGTGCTGTAACATTTGCATATATTGTTTGCACCGTAGATCCCATAGGTCTCTGAAAATGTAAATCGATTAAGTACAGTAAGATGTCATCGTTTTATCTCTTACTCACTTAATTAATTGTACGTGCACAACGGTACATTCGAAAGCATTCTCTTTGCTCATTGGTGAGCGCACGCGGACAAAATCATCTTTTTTCACTTTACTGCGGCTGGCTAGGCGTGTAAGACCACCGGTTACTTTTTGAATTTTCGACTGTATTTGATTGTGTATCTCCCAAGGTATACGATAGGACGCCTTCCGTTCATTTTCTACATAATTAAACCAGAGTTTCGAAGCCAATTCCATAACTTGTTCACGGGTTGACAGTTGCAAATCCGGAGCCTTGGAATTAGCTAGGGGTGATGTTAAACTAACTTTAAAAACTTCTTCAATAGCAGGTTTCTTGCAGACATACAGCTCTTCCCAAACGCGATTTGCAGCCCCCTTAATCAGATTTCGCCCCTGATAGAAAAAAAGTACTTAAGATTAATTTAAATTTCTTAGATTTCGCCATTTCGTCGTTTCACCTGTAACTGATTTAAATCTTCATCCTTCGGCTCATTAGTATTCGTTTGAGGATTTACATGCCAGGTGGTATTGCGTCCTGTTGACGGTTCCAAAATGATCTTCATATTCGATGTGAGTTGCAGCAAACAATACGTTAAGCAACCGATGAATTCCAGTTCATGATTCCCGGCTCCGAATATCAATAAACGTTCATTTATAATTTTATGAAGAGCTTCCAAAACACTCATTTGCTCGGCTATCGTTTCAGTAGGTCGTGATAATAAATACAAAATTGTACGGTTTAAAGAATGATGCAGTTGTTCTAAGCTTAATGAACACGTTCGACGTTTCGCTTGACTTATTAATTTTATTATAAAGTCAAATATTTCATGGGGATTGCGTGTTAAGCAACATTGCCACATCTTATCCACGACGCGAGCGGTAAAGTAGAATACGTTTGGAGCTATATGCTGAGTGTGACTTTGTAATAACGGTACTATGGATAAAGCCGCCTGCTCGCCCACCAAAATATCGGCAGCCAATAAATGATCCATTAAGGCAGTTATAATTTCAGTTTGGTATTCCACTTGTAAAAGAACTTCTGCGTTGTCAGGTGAAGCGTCCAATACTAAATCGATAACCGGCGTAGTTTTTCCATGCATGCTTAGACTCAAGGAATCCACTACTATAACACGCAGAAAATCAATGATACATTTTCGAACGGTATGCGAAGTTAATTTTGACTTTGGATTTCCTATACTATTTACGCTTGTATTTAATATAAAGCAATCCATCCCTTCAGTGGGTGTGGAAGTGCCGCTATTAGACTCTGAATCACCCGCTTCTTCAGCATTGTTAGGAAATAACACAGCCACCAATGAAGAGATAACATCACCGGACATCATAACCGGCATAAAGTCATTCAAATTTTGGTAGAGACTAAAGAGCAGTTGAATAATAGTCTCTGGATGACTTTTTAACCAATTAGCACAATTCATGTCGTGCACTATCGCACGCACCATGCCAAGCAATACGCAAACCGCTTCAGGGCATATATTCATTTTAGATACATTGGGTGTTGATGAGATGGGTGCACCCCAAAGAAACGACCATACACGATCCAAATCGAATTTGGTATGTTCGGTAGCCAACAATTTGACCGGTTGACCCATAATAAGAGCGGTGATGAGAAAATATAATTCCGGTACATCCAAATGATAAGTGAGAAGCCATTCTAACATTTGAAAACCTAAAAGTTAAGAAGAAAATCAGTATTGCGTGCACAAAAAAAAAAAAAATCGTTCTTTATGTGCCTGGTATGTTTAAAGCAGCTGTTCTTACTTCTCCCGCTATTTGGGTGGGCAAATGTTGTAAGACGTTAGCTGTCGATACTATCACAGTGCTTGGATTACCGCTGGATCTGGCATTCAACTGTTTAGCTCCGATACCGATAATTTTCTTCTGCGATACCATTTCGGTGAAGCGTAAATAACCACCGTTATGCGTGGAATCGCGAAAACGTACCAGAAAGCTTTCATTAGCGCATATCACTACCAAAATGCGTACTGCAATAATGACTGTGGTAAAGTGTACGTGAGTTTGCATAAATAATAAAAGCCAATCCATTCCCAGCGTTTTTGATATATCATCGCATATAATGTAATTGACGGTGTTGCGTGAGGTGAAAAGTAAGCCATGTAGAAGTGACAAACAACGGTTGCGTAAGTAGATATTTTGAGCTATGCTATCATGTTCTGCAGTTGCAGCTGAAGGATTGGCTGAAGGCTTCATTGAAGGCAGAATTAATGATCTTTCTACTTGATCAGATTTTGGTAGCTTAGAAGCGCAGTATTGGCCGAAGAGTAAAAGATCTGAGTGCCTTGGTTGACCACCCAGAAGGGCTTCTACTAAATTGAACAATATTTCTCGAGTCGAATGGTCTTGTATGTCTACAATAATGAGCAAAAGTTTATTCAACAATTGCAAATCACGCATAATTTTCACGTTCTGTTTCTTTTCATTGGACTCGACGGCTAATTCCAGCAAATGTTCCAAGAGTGAACGCAGCAGGCCGTTGGGAGCGTGATGCCATATTTCCAGATCACAGAGTAGATCTTGAAAAGCTGTTATATTTGGTATGGCGGTCATGTCTTGACCACTGTTAACTGTGCCCACTAAACCAAAGGTTAGATGTAAGATGTGCGAGTTTAAAAGATTCCGTTTCTTTTTGAAAAACATTCCTAAGGTTTGATAACAACGTCTCCGGTCCATCTCACTTTGCGCAGCACGATTGCTCCGCACTACACACGTTAAAGCTTTAACACCGGCGTACAAAGATTCAACATCCTGAGCCATCGCTATTATTCCTAATAAAACATTGCAGCCGCCTACGGTATCAATCATTGCAGATACAGGATGAGGACTAAAGACACGTACACCTAAATAACCTACTACTACACCGCCCAATGAACGTCCAGCACCTGCCAGGTGACCTGCAGAATTATGGAGAATTCTAAAAGAAAACATGATTAGATACAAAGCCGCTATATTTAATATTATTGCATACTTAATGGGAGTGGCATTTTCATGGGAATTCATGCCTAATTGTTTAGCTATTGATTTATTATCAGCTCTGCTATAAACTTTTCTGATTTTTACTAAAGTAAGCTGGGAAACAGCTTTAGCATTAAGTCCTAACAACACTTTTTCTTCGGCTACTAACGGATTTAAAGGTTCATTTTGTTTTCCTAATTGTGGTGCTTGTAATGATCCCATATAATGAGGGCCCAAGTTGTAGATGGTGTGAACAGTCTGTTGATTTAGAACATCCTCCAATAAGTGACAAACTCCCTGTTTCCAGCACAGGCGCGAGTAACGACGCCAAATAGGAGGTGTGCCTATATATCCGAATACTTGGCTGGTCATTACCACATTAGCTGAGCCTGCTCCAGCATTTTGGGATATATAATGTAACTTTTGTGTATGCATAGGCTAAAAAAATGAAATATATATATATATATACATAAATACAACAGAATATTTTCTAGTTACCATTCCATCTAAATAGAGAGAGAGACTAGAATTTTTTAGAACAGCACGATTTAGAACTACCACTAAATTATGCCATTGGCCTTCATGAAGCAAATCGGGACACCAAATACGCGCATTGTTATCATCAGCGCCTTCTGGCTCCCAGTCACCAAGACCTTAGAAGAAGAAAAGAAGAAACTAAGAAGATCGAATGAAATTATATGCTGAAATGAAACTTACTTTTACTAGGTGCAACTAAGGTTTCTTGAGTCGATACCACTATGGCTTTGTCACGAGCTGACAATAATATAGACAAGCAGACCAAATTTTCTTCACGTGGATTATGTATGGTTCGGATTAAAGTTAATAAGCGTACACAATGTGGATCGGTTTTCGGATCAGAAAATTTTTCTACACAAAACCAAGTGGAGTAAGTTAAGCCCGTTTGAGGAGGAAATATACGATCTCCAGATCCTATGCCACCTATAGTATTTGCATCAATTGTGCCACCAGTCGTTGTTGTAGTTTGCGGAGATAACGTTGGCAAATATAAACAACCAAATCCCTCAGCCGACATATCCATTTCCACAAAAGGCGGCAAAATGTTGGAACCATGAGCTCGAAAATCTCTAGGTGTAGTCATTGAGACCAACGTTTTAATGCGCGTTAATGGAACTGGGCTTCCTATACGGTAGGGTTTCCTTAGATCAATGTCAGTACATGATAAAGGTTCCCCCAGCCGCAAAAATTCTCTTAATTCTGTGGGTTGCAAAGCTTGAGCTGCTAAACGCTCCAATATGTATTGCATGGGGACATGCAAGGGGCTAATTTCTTCAGAGAGTGCTCGACGGGCGATTTTTAGTAATAGTCCGGCCAAACCGTATTCGCACATAATTTGTTGATTCCGCTCACTGCGCACCAGCGACTTAATAATCTCACTTTGATAAACTTGCAAATTCAAGGCTAATGTGCTTTGTCGTGGATGGCTAATGCTGGGGAGCAACTGTAGCATACATAACACCACCCCAGGATGTACAATGCGTGGCTCTGGTAATGGCTGAGAAAACATTAACTGATTAGGATGTGGAGAAGCTAGGCATAGCTCTTTGGTGGGCGACCGGTTATGTTGATCGTTGAACAATGTTATGACATTATGAAGATTTGGTGCTTCAAAATTGTCTAGAGCAATGCTATACAATAGACGATATATTATGCTAACGTACGATAGCGAAAGGGGTACGCTAGAGTTGAAACTGCAAATAAATAATAAAAGAACAAAGATAAAACTTTTTATAACTTTTCCAATCTTTTTGCAAACATTTACCTGCAATTTAATATATCGCCAGTAAAAATCTCGTGAAAGTATTTCTGAGTCAAGGTATCAGTTTTGAAAACACCCTTAAAATGAGGCAATTCAATTTCATTGCCAAAACATCCTAATAGACGTAAAGTATCACACAACGATGCTACGCAAATCTCTTGATGGAAAAATTTTGCATTGGCCGGCTCGAAACGCATGGCTGTGGCCAATGTTTGAGACACCATTTGCAGCAGAAGAATTAAATCATCCTGTGGTATAGCCTTTTTCTCTTCTTCTTCTTCTTCTTCTTCTTCTAGATCGCCATCTTTCTTTTCTTCCTCTTTCTTATTGTCTGCTAAGTCGTCACACAATTTACCGTCCAGTGAAACAAAAATACTGGTTAAATAAACGAATCCACCTACTTTACGAAATACGGTACGCGTACGATGAGAATCCTTTAGACATCCCAAGAGCATATTGAGAATTTGTATTTTAAAATCCACTTGATGGGGAGACACTGAATGCATTACCGATAATATGAAAAGCATATCATCGTCACCACCTGCCGATAAAATTAATTCTCTTATTATGCCCAAAGCTTGTGGGCGACAGTGCCTAAACTTGACCAATTCATGTACGCATTTAGCGCCACCGCAGTCCCGAAAAACGTTAGCATTATTGTTATTGCCCGCCAGCAAAATAGTCAAAGCTTCTAAAACATGTTTGCCCAAAATATCGGGCAAATTTTCCGCTCCGTCCTCGCAGATGATCGCATTTTCATTATCTTTGGTTATCTTGCACACGTAGTCGGCATAACGATTTAAACAGGTCACAAGCACTTCCAATATACCCACTTCACGGTAAACGTCCTTGAAAACATTATTGTGCCTCAATACGTTAAGCAATGTCTTAAGACACAAAATGCTACAACTCGGAGAGTGATTATTTTTGAGCAAAAGTGATAACGATATCAATTCTTTGCAAGGTACAAAATTCAGCTGGAAAACAATAAATTCCAACAAATCGAAAAATTTCTCCTGTATCTGAGAACCTTTCAGGTGAATACGTTCCGTGAATTGACTTAAAGTATTCTCGGATTCCAATATGAAATAATTGGCATTTTCTGAGTGATAGATACGCGATATGGCGTCCAAAATGGTACAGCACAATATGGGAGAAGTAGATTTAAGAAACACACTTTGCAACACTTGGAAAGCGTAAATGTTGCGGACACATGTTTCCCGAGATGAGGCTTGAGGCATTTGAAAATTTTGCATTTTAAAGAGAGCATTTATTTGCGTCGGAGGGGGACGCAACTCATTGAAACCGCACATACATAATGAGGAGATCATCAAGACTAAGTTCCGTATCGCTGCCTGCACTTCAAGGGAATGAGAACGTGATGTATCGAATCTGGAATGCGAATATTATATTAAGTAACAGTAATAGGATTGTATTGGACGTTAACACTTACTTAAGCAAAAAATCCCCTAAGAATATGTAACCTTGAGAGGCTTTGAAATCATCTAATAATATTTGGGACACTTGACTAGAATCTTTGAGGAAACAAAAGACAGTAACGAACATTTCTACGATTTCTAAAGGATTTCCAAATGTTAAACGTTGCATATTATCCACGCACAAGGCCATGCAACCTTTTGCTAAATATATATAGAAAGACAAACACAAACATGAGAAAAGCTTTTTAAAGTTACTCATATGATTACTTACAATGTATATAACTGACTACAGCGTCCGTTAACCCATGCCGGGAAATTGTAGTTAAAATTTCGGCAGCATTTTTTCGCCAAACTATATTGTGGTTCGGACAGGGTGACGTTATCGCTGAGAATAGCAAAGTCAAATCATCCATACGAGCTAATTCTTCGGCAGGATATGGATACGAACAGAGCCTGACGAGCAACTGTACAAATACCTTCTGCAATAAAGTACGTCTTTCGTAGGCACTAAACTCGCTGGTCCCGATATATGGATCAGTCTCTACTGATGGCAAGTCGAAGAATAAATACAAACATTTCACCAAAGTAGAAGGCACAGCAGCAGCTGTCATTACCTAAAAATAAAAAATAAAAAAAGAAAATTTTAAGAAATAGACAATAAAACTTAATTTTCTGTAATTGTTCGTTAAAAAATTTTTTCACGAAAAAATTTATACTTTATATATATATATACATTTTTATTTTTTTTTGTTCATAACGTTATGCAATTGGTTTGGTGTTTATTTAAAGCAGTCGAAGCTGGCTTGAGTGTTTTGTGTTTGGTAATTCATATTCAAAGCTTGGATCAGACGCAACCAATGCCTCATGTGATCATCTTCTGCGGTACATTCTTCGGATTTATGTTAGTATCAGGGTTTGGGTGTCTGGTGGTCTTCTTTAATCGCGGCACAAATTCGCTTAACGAATGTTATGTGAGCTTGACAGGAGCTCTCATGAATTTCATTGCATCCATTTTAGGAATGCATTTTGCGGAGAAGGATTATCATCTAATGTATTTATCTGACTTTGAGGAACCATTGCACCCATTCTTCGCCAGTTGCAAGAAGCAAAGCGTTTGTGCTTTGATTGCCGGTTTCATTTATATGCTACATGCATTTTTTGCGTTCGATATGGTCTTGGTGCACGGACCTGAGGTCGCGGATGAAGATAATGAAAATTACGAGGCTACGCAGCCATTGCAATTATATTTCATTTCCCATGAGGTTCATCAGTTATTAGAAAGAAAATATTCCTGGTTCCGTGAATTCTGCGCCAGACCATCAGTGTATCGTGACTCCGCCCAATTGAATCTCATTCAATACCGCGAACACGATAGTGTTGGTGATAAAGCACGTTTGAAAGCAATGATTTCACGAATCTCCGGTCAACGAAATACTGGAAGTTTTGGAAGACGCTCTAGAGGAACCGACTTTGAGAGAAGAAGACTTTCCACATCTGATAGAAATAGCGGCAGACTTCCTTCAAGGTTTTCAAAGGAGAGCTCTTCTTATAATACGTAAGGGATTTATCTTAAACATTAATTTTGTTAAACTCGCTGACCTGAATGAGAGAAACATCGCTGTTTGCTAATAAATTAAGAGTAGAGAGAAGCATCCAGCCACTGCTCGTCTCCTCTGTTGTCTCTATTTCTAAGAATTTGACGATAGCTATTGATGCAGCTTCGGTGCTTTGATTGCTGGCTCGTTTACGTATCTCGTTAACCATTAGACGTGAAACCTGTTGGCAGAAGGCGACTACATCCCAAAATTTTTCGCTCATATCAGCAGCAGGACAAGTACTAAAAACCTGAAATGTAAACAAAGAAATAAAAAATGAATAAACATATATGCGTACATATATATATACAAGGGTTTCTATATTGAAAATTGCGTATTAAATTTATCTCTTCTTCAACGGCTTGCAAAACATTATTGACCAATTTGTCTCAAGCTCTAAATATGGCAATAAACATAATGGCAAGTTATTGTAGGTAAACACGTACCCTGCAAAATATGGGCAACATTTGATAGAGTTTCATATCACGTTCCTGTTCAGTTAGAGGATCCCGCGGATGTGTATACTCGCTGAAGAGTTTTTTTAGGGTATGCAAACTTGTCTGCAACCGATCATCCAATGAAACGTCTTCATTAGTGCCGGTCGTGGAGGCCAAACTGTCGGCATTGTTGGCGATGGATGTTTGAGTACTGCTAGCATTACTTCCTGTCGTTCCTCTTAGTTTACGCATTACATTCATTCTTCACTTCGGGAATAATTTAGCAGCAAGCAGTTATTTGAACCCTTCCGGACTTTGATAAGCTTTTAATTTTTCTTCCTTTTTTGTCTAGAATCGTCTATAGTTGCTTTGATTTACCATTTATGAAATCTACAAACATATTAAAAAAAAATTCGATTTAGAAATCAATAACTCACGCCATAAATATATATATATATTTTTTTTTAAATTACGTGTTAATTTAATTTGCAAGAAGAGCGCTACTGGCTACAGAAAATTGTACATTGTTTTTAAATTCAGAATTAAGGTAAAGTGCTGAATAGGTTTATCGGTCATTAAATCCCGGGACAGATACATAGATGGCTCTATAACAAAATAACTCTTACCGTTGTTATATCCATATTGTGTGTGTGTCCATATTGTCAGGAGTGCCGCGAAAACTAAGAAATAACTAAAAATAAGAAATTAAACTCAAAAAGCAACTAATCCCTTCGAATATTCAATAAGACGAGTCTTAAGTGAAAACGTGAAGCCTGCTTTCCCATCCATCCATCTAAGAGGAAAAAAGGCAAACTCTTTTAAAAGAAATGGAACTAGGGGAGAAATTCGTTTGTGTGGTCACAACTGATTAAGAGCTTAAAAATCAAATTGATTGATGATACCACAAGTTAGTAGACATTGAAACAAAAATTGAGAAGAAGAACTTGTCACTTGTCCCGCGATTCCAATCTTCGTTAAATTACTTACGGACAATGTAAATTGCGTCCTTAAACATTAATTTAGGTTCCACCCAAATTTCATTGGCAACGGATCAACATTTAGAGAGCCGTTAGAGTATCTATGAGTTTCGGACAATAACTAGTTATAGGAAATGCTTTTAGCCAACATTATGCAGGCACTTTTCATCTCATAGATAAATGTAGGCGTGCGAAAGTTATTTTTCCAATGGGTACCCAGTATTACCTACGGTCACAAATTGCATGAATTAAGGTTAGAATTGCTGAATTTTGAAATTGAAGCGCGTTTTTCAGGCTCTAGATAATATAGGAATCGTTGTGTTCAAAAAGTATTCAAATATATGTAAAAGTAATCGCGTATATGCATATAGCGTATATTTATAGGTAGATATATATAAGTAGATGTATGTATAGGTAGGATATATATATATATATGTAGGCATATATATAGGTGCAGGTGTGTGTGTGTGTGTGTGTGTAGGTGTACAATACGTTCATCGCGAATTTAGCAGACTATGTAAGAAAAAGCTTTCTTTTGTATTGCAAAATTGGACTGTGACAATATCAGCCGAATCTCCGTTACGAATATATATATATATATATATACGTATGTATAACTGAATCGCACCTACATATATATATGCATATATTATATATAAATATACGTTCTTGTTATGAGCTAAACCACATTATGAATCGTTTGTGAGTAGCTTGAGAAGAAAATTCGGTTACTAATCGTTGCGTTAATCTTTTAATTAAGTGGAGAGATAGTTGTCTTTGTCTACAGATTAACAACTTAGGCAAATTCATGATTTCATAAAAGGAAAAAAATAATGTTTTTTATATGCCAGTTCGATTAACGGTGCAATGGGGTCAACGTCTAATAATTCCGGTGGCTAAACACCCATTTAATTGCAATCTAACAACGACAAAAAACTATATTCGGTATGAAGCGAATTTGATCTTACCTACCACACGATGGTGTTTGCATTCTTACTAAAAAGTGCGCTTGCACAATGATCGATACGATGTATAGTATGCCTAGCGTGAAATATGGCAAAAATGCATAACCAAGGAAGATTCGTTGTTTCAGAGAAAATTTTCATATCGTAAGCGTATATTCAATACAATAATGATCACAGTATAAACCGATTAAGTCTAGCAATCATGTTGAATAAATAAACAAATATGTTATGGAATCTTATAAGCATTTGACAAACCTAATATATTCCCGTTGAACTAACAATTTTCATGGGAGATAGGCAGCAGCTTTGTTTGGTTTGGTTTGGTTTGCTTATTATAAATATTAATATGCATAAATAAATTGCGTGCTTTATTGCCTTAACATGTATGCGGTTTTTGAAGGCAATTGTTTCTTCAATTGGTTAAATGCTTGCTTGCTTTGTGTCTAGATATATGTGCATATATAAATCAGTTTTGATGTTGAGATGATAAAAAAGTTAATGAGTCACACTTAGCGTTTTTATAAATGAATTGTGTGCAACTACTATATAAGCGACACCTGACACCAATTGCGATCTTTTAATAAACTCATGTTTTATGTTTGCATATACAAATACACTTTTTCATGCCGTACACCATTTGTGGTAAGAATAGATTAAGATTTTTGCGAGCGCGCACAGCATTAAAAGCAATTTAAGATAGATCCATCATTTGTTAGATCCATCAATATAGATAATTTTTTCGGTCGATTTTCGCTTATTTGTCCGTTTGGGAGTCTTATGTTTGTCCATGCATGTGGATTTTAACTTTCATATCACAATTTTCGGGATATTTCAAAGACATCCGGTATCCTGACATGTTTTGGCTTAACAATGAATGCTAACAAAATTAGTTTGAATCGAGCACGTTTTCCAAACGCCATTTTACAAACGGGGAAAAAGTGTAGAGCATTTAAAAGTCGCCTTTGTCTGCTTGAATTTTTTTTTGATTATGTTAAAGCAGTTACATGCTATATGACTAAATTAATAAAGCGCGCATTGCTGAAAGTATTTTTTTAATTTATTACCCAGTACCATTGCTAAAGTTTGGTTATACTAGAAGCAAATGTCCGCTACGTGAGTTCTCTCTGAATTTCAGAAATTCTTCGCACAATTCTTTGGCGCGTACCCGATATGACCTTGACTACTATAACGATATATCAACATCAGTGAATATGAAGGTAAGGACATCTGGGGCAATGAGAAAAGTCTTATTCATTTTGGATCAAATTTTATTTAAGAATGTTAGTAGGCAAACAAGTGAGACAAACTTCAGATCAATATCTATTAAGCGCTGTAAGTAACTATTGCCATTTAACGATTTCTGCGATATCTGAAACATATTTTGCGTTTTATAAGCAGAAATGCAGATTCTGTGGATAACAAAATCATTCTCTTACTCATAGCATTTTTTCTATGCAACAGAATCATACCTTTGCACCTAACACGCTATGAACACTTGTCATTCTTGAAATTAGCAGATTCAGTTAGCGAGCGTCACAGTTGCTTGCACTCAAGCTAATTGCACATCGCACGGTTCCGCTATTTTCATCATACACATGAATATAAAAATGAACTGTTTGTTTACTGAGAAGTTAAACAATTCTCAAAACAAACTTAAGAGTAAGTTTTTTCTTTTCCGACTTCGTTTTGATGAACAATTTGCAACAAACAAAACGAAAAGCAATCATTAAAAGAGTTAAATAGCGTTTGGCTTTTATATTGGAGAAATTTTTCAATCACTATTTGTTTATTGCAGCAGTATTGGTTTTCAATTTTATGAAAAGGCAATCTATGCTGTATAAAGTGCGTTTAGACTTTAGAGATTTTTAAAAATTTATTGTTTCATCTGACTTGAAAAAGAAGGGAATGGTACATGGTTTCGCTATTTAAGTTTAAGACCTCGTAAAACCTAAGTGGGGTAGTTGAAAAAGAGGTCTTATTCTTTTATTGAAGTAACTAATATTACAAGTTGTTCCACTATATTTTTATGTACGCATCCGTAGAGTAGGGCTATGCTAACTCTGTCGTTGAATTTTCCTCATAATACCCTCAGATTATAAAACACACGACGCAATAAGGCAAAAAAAAACATTTTTTTTTTTAGTATTATAATTCATAAACACCAGATTTAAACTCATTTGACTATAATTGTTCTTTTATTATGACTAAAATGGAGATATGACCTCGTTTGCAATTCGTAGAAATATTATTACTTTTGTTAAGCACTAGTACCTCGTTCTTATGAGATGTATTGTGCTAAAAGAGTTTTCGTGCGGATCATGGGTTATTGTCTAAACCTTAAACTTAGTAATGTAATTCTTTGTAATATTAAATTAACATCCTAACCAAATAGTGGAATGTAAGACACTCTTAGCTTTGTTTCTGGTTTATTACTAATCTTAATTTTAACTTTAATTATAACTTTTAGTTAAACTTTAATTCTAGGTTTTTGCATAAATAAATAAATGAATAAAAAAACAGAATAAAATATAGAATATATAGAATATGATTTTGTAATAATAATAGCGTGATACTTTTCCCCACAAAAAATCACTTGGCGAATGCTTTAACATTTCAATGTTTTCTTTAGTAATTTAGCTCAGCAAATATACTTAATTGAAATTTTGCAAATGCATTTCTTTTTCCAATTCCCGTAAATGAATGATTCTATGATTTAAAGATTATAGGCAGACGTATTTAAGAACCAAGCGTTGTGAATGCCCAAGATTTCAGATAAACCAATGATGTTGTCTCAATTTGCATATTTGATATGGTACACATATTTTTACATTATACTTGTGTTTATGTGTTCGTTCGCTCATTATCATCCAAATTGAATTGCAATTAAGTTGATAATAACAGATGCCACCAGTAAGTCGGTCAATAGCGCTTTACGTTTTTTATATACATCAGTTTATTGCCTCCCTTTATTTGGCAAACGCAGTGAAAGAGAATCCTTTCAAATGTCACGTAAGTAATATTGTAATTGAATCCGGTGTTTAAATTGTTATCTGATGTGCTGTTCCAGCAGATTTTTGTTGATGCATTATGTATTTGTGTCGTTTTTTAATATACTATCACATAATTATGTTACGTTGCAAAATGAGAATAATGAGAGGTGGAGAGAAAGTATCTCTTGCATTAATGATGATGTTTATGATGATGATGATTACGATCTACATAGTAAAATTTTTTTAAGAAATAAGTTGGAAAAGTATAAATTTGCTGTTGTTGTAGCACACTTTATCAATAATATATATGTCATTTATTGCAATTGCAATTTAATTTTCTCTGGTTTCATTTTATTTGCACTTGAAAGCCATTAAGAACGAATATTCTATTCCTTGTAATTACAAAGGATTTTGTATCCTATTAAAGCACATCTTTGGCAGCAGCTCCAACAACAACGATTGACTAGTTTGTACACTGATTTTTAACTGCTGTGACAATTTGTATTGATTTTTCGCGTTTTAAACACACTTATGCATGCAGTTGTTGCTGTTTTCAATAAACTTAGTTAACCTGCCCTTCTGTAAAATGTTTAGTAGAGGAAATTGCATATATATATATATATATATATATATGTAAGTATATAAGTATATATATAAACATATTGTTTTTACAAACGGTAAAATACTCATAACAGCTTTAAAATTTACACCGCAAAAGGGTTCATACAGGAATACACGCACTTATATTATATTATTTGCCAGGTAGCACCTATACACCCCCTTTTTTTTATATACACATAAAATTTTTTCTTTTTAAAAGAGAAAATTTCATTTATTTCACTTTTCGTTAATAATTTCAACATATTTTACACTTACTTGTGTTAAATTTCTTTATTGTGTTAATTATTTAAATCACACAATCTTTTTTTTATAATTTGTCTTTCTAAAATTAATTTTCACTTAATTTTTCACATTTTTACTTGATACCTTATAAATTCTCTCCACTGACTGCATTTTTCTTTTTCTTTATTAGACCTCTGCGAGGTAACAACAATTTAGTGTTTTCTTAAATAAATTAGAGATTTAAAAAAATCGCCTTTATTTTAACGCATCTTTATATTAACTTAGATGTATTATTTTTTTTAATCGAAAATTTACGTTTATCTTGAAGCATAAAAGTGAAAAACATTATTTTTTTTATTAATTCAATATTTAAACCACAATTTATTTTTCTTTCTTTTTTTTAAGTTAATCATATGCTACTTAGCTAGTTAGTTGGCATTACTGTTGTACAAAGAAATTCTCTTTTAACATTTTTGCTCTTCGAATTTCTCACTTTGAGATAGGAACAAAATTTTAGTTTTGAAGTTTAACTACAAGTTGGAAATTAGAATTGTGGGCTTTTTAATATTTTCATGGGCAAACGTTTATTTTCGCACGAAAATTTCACTTATATTAATTTAAAATATAGTAAACAAATAAAATTGATTTATGTAAATTTTTTCTGCTACACTGTCCGGCCATTTTTAACTTAAATTAAAAAAATATATATTTTTCTATTTGAGCAGATAATTAAATTTATGGTTGCGATAAACGAAGAATGAAAACAAAAGCCGCTGTTAGATAAAAAAGAGAGAAATAAAAGAAAGAATTTCTATAGTTTCTCACTTTTTGTCGCCAATTCGTTCAAACTGTAAATTTTGGCGGTAATATTCTCTATACATACTAAAAAGCATTTATTTAATTTAAAAATTTGTGAAGTGATAAAACACGTAAACCGTTAATGATGCGTAATGTCTGACGTACTAAATAAGCTTTTGCTGAGAAAAAACAAAATATTGGTTAACAAATATTGTTTGAAAGTATAAAAAATAATTAATAATAAATTAAATCGTTATCGTCGGTCAGAGTCTAAAGAGTTAAATAGCCTACACCTTTTATCTGAAAATGATTAATTCATTAACATATTTTTTTCCTATTTTTGTTTTGTATGTATATGTGTGTACATATGAAACACAGATTTCTGAGATGTATACACTGAAAAATTACGCGAAAGGCTGAAAGGTAAGGAGAAGGTTCTCAGAACAACGCTAGTAAACTAATTGGAGCGTCAAATATCTGTTTAAAAATACATTTTCTTCATTCCTATGTCAAGAACTTGGTTAACGAAATTTCTTTTTGCTCGGTAGCTATAAAAAACCGCCGGTTGATTGGTTTGGTTTTGAAAAGTCCGAATGTATTTTTACAAATATGAAGATATTTTGTGATATATATTTTTATTAAGTAGAATAGGAGATTCGAATTCAAGTAGTCCATTGAATTAAGATTGATTTGCGCGAAATTAGGAAGCTCTAAATCGCTTTGAAATCTTACGGAAATTCGGAATAGGTACATTTTGTGGAGTCTACTGAAAAAGATTTTTATATTTATCAATGATGCTTATGGTGATAATAAGTTTTTCCCCAAAATTCTTTTTTTTTATTATAGAAAAACAAATAAGAAATTTAAATTTGCTTTCTTTTGACTTTTTGATAGTTACTATCTTAAATCAACATAAAAATTTGCAAAATTTTTTCTTGAAATGAAAGCATTCTCAGACTTACATTTTACGATATCTAAGCACATACGAGCATCAATTTAAGGTTTCTACGGGCTTGTTTATTGAATGATCAAGTTAATTTTGGGTGCGGATCTGTGGGCACGAAGTAAAGAATTTCAATTTTTACGGACATGAGATTTCCAACAGCGGATAGCATATAAGGGATGATACAATGACGGCGGGACTAAGTTTCGATCTCTGGGGGAAATATTAAATTATTAGTTTTATGAATTTTATAACCTTGCAGATAAAATATATATAGTATATAAAAATATGCAATAGCATATACATATGATATTAAAATAAATATTTTAAATATATAAAGCTCAATATGATTGTGCGTAAAGAATAACAGCATTCTTTGCATTCTCACAATCTAACAACTCACGTCGCAATCTTTCCCTTTTTTAAATCATGTCATCAAAATATATAAGCATTTATACTAAGGCCCACACAACTGAACTCAAACAACTCTGTTAAAGTGGCAAAGCAGTCGTAACAAACTCTGTTATTGGGAAAGCAGTGGTAACAAACACTGTTAAAGTGGCAAAGCAGTCGTTAATGTGCTTATAGATTGAAATTGTCATTGATTGATAGTGTATGCAAAATGCAATTTGCCTCAAACCTTATCCTACTGAAAATATCATTTATGTTGATAATGCAATGGAATCGAAATAAAAGGATGTCGACAAAGATAAAGCAGATTTCTGTGTCTTTGCTATAAGACAACTAAAGGTTTATTGCAACGCTACAATAATGTATGTATGTAAGCAAAGGCTTAAACCTCATAATGGAAAAATAAAAATCGTTTTCGACTTGAAATTGTTAATTTAACTTTTTCATCAATGATGTAAATTTATAAAATTTTCTTGAAATTTATTATTTTAAATAAAAGCATTTCTTTTAACTGCAATAATTTTTCAATGTTTACGTGTTTTAAATATAATTCGTGGTTTTAAGATTTAATTTGTACCATCACCTGTTTTGGGGAAACTTTAATGAAATTGTGAACATATTTTACTTACTTTCGCAAATTCAGCCGGCGTTTCGCAGTTTCCAACCATATGCATAAAGGACACGTGTTTACACTTCCTGCCAGTAGCATTTAAAGTTTATTATTATTTTTAAGTTGATCGCTTTTTATTGACCTTAGCGTTAAAAGCGTTGATTTTTAGTATCAACAAATCAACATCAACAAAGGGTTAGCAGTTGCAAAATAAGTGTATGGAAAAAGCAAAAAAAAAAAAAAAAGAAAAAAAAAATGAAATATAATTAAAAGAGCAACGGTAAGAGGAATAGTAGTTTCTTCTGCAATACAGTTGGGGAATAAGATGAGCTCGTAGTTATCCAGATGTTCGGAAGTTCGTAGTGTAGGTAAGAAAAGAAATCCTTTAACCGCATGTCATTCATTTATGCCGCATGAAACACCTGTGTGTTGCTACATACGTTTAAGTACTTTAGTATTTATCCTTCCGATCTCCGTGCCTTTGAATAGATTCACTTGTTTAAAAACTCTGAAACATATTTCTTTTTTTTTTTTTTTCTTTTTCTCCTCTGTTAAGTTGCTTTGTGTTTTTTCTTTTATGAATTTATAGCTTATAAAAATATCTTATTTCATATTATGTTATATACAATTGAACGGTTGTGCTGCATACATTACAAGGATATTGTAAAAAGAAAAAAAAAAAAAAAAAACTGAGCATATTTGTAAAAGCGGATATTTATAAATAACTTTTTTTTTTTTGCTTAAATAAACCCTGAAAGATAATATTACAGCTTTAAACTTAAACACAGTTTAAAATGTTAGCACGTGGCGCAGCTCGTCTTTCTCCGTTAACAAGAATTAAAAGAGAAATTATTTGCGGCTTAAATCGAAACTTTTCACACCCCACCCGTTGTCGGCAGTAAATCACTTTGTAACTAAATCTCTAAGAAAGTTAGATGCTTAACTTTACTTGCGTTAAATATCGAAGGAATTTTTTGTTAACAAATTTTCAAAACCATTTCGATTAATTTTAGATTTTAAGTTTCTCTTGGTCTATGGACATATGTAGGATCTCTGCAAGCAAAGACATGAGTTAAGCGGACATGGTTTTATTGGCTTCGAACTATTTTCATTTGTGTACTTTTCCGACTCTACTATACCCGTTTCTGGCTATTGTGCGTAAAACGATGTAACTATTATAATATACCACTTGTCTTGGATGATGAGTGATAAAAATGTGTTCATATGAAATTGCTACTCTTTGGCGTGTTTTTATTTCAAATACATACAATGCAACTTTAACATTGAACGTATATCAGCATTGTTTACTTAGAAATATGCTGCAGATAACCTAACTCCGTGAAGGGTGGGGGAGTCAGTTATTTTTCAGATTTCAGGCGATGTGGAGAATTATGAAAGAAATTTTCAAATTCTTTAATGAATATTGTTGTCATTTTTATACCCTACACGACTTGTGATACGGGATATATTAAGTTAGTGCGGTCGTATGGAACATGCAGGAGGGTTTCAGATAGGACCAGTTTTTATTATATGAATCGATTCAGAATCATAATCTCAATTGATCTAAGCCTGTCCGTCCTTTGGGAAGGAAGGGGCAATTTTTGAAACCCCTCTCAATAACGAAAACTGAAGATCGTGCGACAAAAACGTATAATTGGATCTTATTCGAACAGGGATTTTCACGAAAATTGGTCCTTTGTAGAGCGGGAAAAGTTTAAGTTTTAATATGCTTTGATGGAAATTGACTCACACTATTGATTTCATTTTGGGATACCATTCTACGTAAGGGTTGAACTTATTCTACATTAATACGCGCATGGAAAATGTGCCTTTATATAGAAACAAGATGTAATTTTTGTGTTCTATAATACAAATAAGAATTGTGTTAGACAATATGGTTTAGGGTATTTAATAGTCGGCCTTGCCCGACTGTAATGTTCTCACTTGTTTGTTTTAAATTTAAAATTCAAATTATTGGCAACAAATTGGCTTTTAAGGATTAAAAAAGTATTTATCATGCAGACAGATGCACAAAGATTTGAATGAATAGATCAATGTAATTAAATGCTTGTATCTTCTTTATTGTATGTCCAGTGTCTTAGCTCTAAGTAACTTAGCGTATTTTTTATAATAACTTTGCATAAGCCAGAGGGTAGAAAAACATATAAAAAAATTTCCTTCAAATACTTTCACATACGTATTTATTATAATTCTTTCCTTGTTCGCCTTTAAAATATGATCGAGTCCAGGTCCCATCCCAAAATTGTACGTATAAATCTTTGGACTGTGTCTATTGGTACACCGATGTTCGTTAACTGCTGACGCAATTCCTTATACTCCTTAACATTAATCTTTAGATTTTCTATTAATTGAAGGAATTCGGAAGATTTTATGTTATCGATTGATTTAGCGAATTCGGGATCTGTTTTCAAAAGTCTCTGATATAAATCAATTAACTCTTGACGTGGAAGTATGTTATAGATTTTCGTGATGACATCATATATACCCCCTTTGGAGGATTGCTCTCCATCAGCTTTGACCACGTTAGCAGCAGAAGGCAATAAGAATATTGACAAAAATTGCTTGTAATAAATCAAATCAAGATGTAAGATTTGACAGATGTAATCCTTAATACGTTGATATTCCTGGGAGGATCGTAACGCTTGCAATTTGTTACGAAACTCAGGCGACTTACGTAGTTTTTGTAAGGCGATCATTTCAGGATCATTAGCTGCTCCATCGATTAATTCTTTGATTTTATCCAAAGGCAATAAAGCCTTAGCTTGTTGTATGTGCTTTTTCAAACCTCCGTCTATGGATGAGGCGCATATATCTGTGTCGAAGAAAAAGTTCAAAAAAATTTTAAAACAAAATTTACTTATACTTGAAGGAAATCCAGAAATTACCCTTCTCTGAATGATGTCTGCCAAGGCCTCCACCGTTCCCTCCAATATCATCCCACACGGGTAACCAATTAATTTTATAAGTTACCTCCTGGTTTGATGTTTCTCTCTGGCCATGAATACGCACCGCAGAGATAAGAACCAACAAAGTAATTAAACTTAACATTTCCGTTTCTTTTCTTTCTTTTTTTTTTCGCTCGGTGTGAATTCAAATTTGACTTAAATTGCTTGTAACGATTGTATCTGCTAATGATGGCCACGTTAAGGCTTTCATGCCCTTTTATAGCAGTTAAGTGTCTTTTAATTTGGGTTATCTGTGCGCTGCCGTATTTACATTGTTTTATGTATTTATTTAAGAATTTTTGAGCGTAAGTCATGTGCCGTAAGATGTAAATAAAGCATTGCTTGTACTTTTGCAGTATTTTTCGCAATCACTTACTTACTTTTTATTATTACAAAAATAAATCTTTCTTTAAAATACATTTAATTTGTATTAATTTATAAACACAATTTTTCCTTTTTTAGAATTTTTTTTTTCAGCAAATTTTAGTAAACTTTCGAAATATACACATAAGTCACTTACAGTCAAGAGATTCGGTAATCTGAGGTATGCAAATAATTTTTATCGTTCCTTTTTTTTGTTTTTTATGCAAAAAAAAAATATTTTGTTTAAGAAAATTGTAAAAAGCGTTTTCGTCAATCACAAAAATATGAATTCTCTTGTCTTCTTTGAACAGACTGTAAATCATTGATTGAAACACTCAATCAAAATATTGACCAGAAGACGTCACACCTGACGCTGTAGTTTTTTCGCATTCGAACTCGACCTGCTTCGTGCTTCATTTGATCCTAATCATGTTACCTAATAACTGAAGACCCGAATGGGACGCCATTTCTATTCGATATCAGCATAAACGGTCGCAATTCGGCAGGCATTGCAGAAGCATTTTTCTCCCTGCAACGTATATTTTCCCATTTTTGTTTCTATTTCTTCTCCTATTTCTGTTTCCAATCCTTTTTCTATCTGTACTCCTATTTCGGTTTATATTTCTTCTCCTGCTTCTATTTCTATACTTACTTTTATCTGTACTCCTATTTCTACTTCTACTTCTATTTCCACTTCTACTTCTACCTCTACGTCTACCTCTACTTGCACTTGTATTTCCTCTGCTGCTTCTATTTTTACTTCTACCTCTACTTCTACTTGTATTTCCTCTGCTGCTTCTATTTCTACTTCTGTTTCGATCTGCACTACTTACGTCACAGTCGGTCTTTTGTCTATTGTCTTCGCCAAAGTTGATCAAATTAAGCTGTTGGGTCGCTATATATATAACGTACACGGAGATGAAACGTAACCTGACCAATAAATTGCTGCGGCGCGATGATAAATAAGCCCGTTTATCGCAAAGACCGGTCTTTTGATACCCACCACCAAAGGTAAAAAAAGTAAGAGAACTAAATTTTCATGCTCTCTAATATGGAGTAGGCGCGGCTTATTTATTTTTAATTTTAAAAATAAAAGTTTTTGTCGCAAAGGCGCGTGTGGACTTTGTAGGCGTATCCTTTGAAGATCTTCCAAATTCTTTTGTAAATTTGTAGGCTATAGCTTCATTTTCCTTAAAGGGAATATGTTTACCATAGATACTACACAATTAGGCAGACGGACAGACAGACATACTTATGTGCATTTCGAACTTGAAACTGACCAAGTGTTTAGATACATTATGGAGTTTTTGAAGCTTATTTCTGCGAATAATGAAGGAATTGAAAAAAAAGATTGAATTTTGATGCGCTATAAAATTGCGTAGGCGTGGCAAATGTTTCATTTTTGTACAAGTGCTACTGCATCGCCAATCGAATATACGATGCCGTCTTTGTACGGTTAAGTGGTGTAGTCTGTGAGTAAAGAGCAAGATATCAATTTTTTATTCCTTTCCAAAGACAAAGGTATTCTCAGTTTACATAGTACTATGGTCGTATGCTTTGACCGATATGCGCCCTTTTTAATTACAACCTGCGTGCAATTCTGCTGAATTTGAACTCGGTGGCTTCATTGTTGCCACTAGGACAATGTCTACAACAAACATTGCACAGACGGACAGACGGACAGACGGACATACTTAAATAGATTCAGAATTTAAAAATGATGAGACATGTGTGCACTTTGTGGGCTCTCTGAGGCATCCGTCTGGGCTTTGCAAACGCGAGAATTTTGTATATCTGCTATTTAAAGCGAAATCTTGAGCCATCCTAACTGCGGTTCAGCGATTTCCTTATGCTTTTATTTATTTATTTTTTTTTTTGCTTTCTGCTTATTAGAGGGGATTTTATAAACATAATTTTTAAATTAGGAATTAGGTTAAGAACAATGATGTCAAGTCTCCCTCTGTGTGACTTTGAAAGCTCCTCAATTACATATAAGGAAATTAAGGTGGAATCTCGCGCTGATCATGAACATCTGTTCACACAGTTCAAGATATCTCTGATGGGAAATTGCTTATGTTACAACATATAAATTACGTTGATTATTTTCAATACTATTGAGCTAATATACAATAATATATGTGAATATACTTTACTGCAATTTGTATAGAAAGGTGAATACAACGATTAGACATTTTTAGATCTCAGAGAGTTGCCCTAAACAAGACTTGCCCTAAAACAAGAGGTTGAGAAAAATGATAAAATATTATAAATAAATTATTTATTATTCAGTCGTCAAAACGATCTTATCATTTAGTGGAATATGTACAGTTAGGAGTTAATGAAGTGCTTTGATATTAAAAATTAATAAAATTCCAAAAATGGAGTTAATCGATTTGACAAGTGAAGCATCCCTATATCTGAATGAATAGATTTTTCACTTGTGCGGCAAGAAGTGTCTAAAGATTTTATCTAGTTTTGATGTTTTCTTTCAAAGGTTAGTTTTCCGCCTCAGTCTTCGTGGTTGAATGCGTACACGTATGTCTCCTTGATTTTTATTACAAAACTTTAAAGGTTTTTAAAACAAACTTTTTTTTTTTTTTTTTTTTTTTTTATTCGAAACTTATGCGGTGTATGAAGAAGAAAGAATTTAATTTAACCTTAAACGGCTTTATGCATATAATTCTGTGTCTTCCGCTGACAAATGTAAACCGCACAAGCAGACTCACTTATAAACGCATGTATACTCGTACACGTATTTGCATACATTTTTGCGAGCTACTGATTCGCGTATTTACATACGCATATATACAATAACTTATGTATATCCAAAGTCTTGCCGTTTCATTTCCAGAAACGGCGGCTTAACTTTCTGCTTGTGATTTCCTTTTACTCAGTTACTTTAGGTTGAAATTATGTAAAATTTTTCATAACGTTTGTGATGCATTAAAGGTTCACCTAATGAACAAATAGAAAAATTGAACAATTCGTACGGTTGACGAAATTGAATTTTACCAACTTTTCAGATCCAGCTAAGTGATAATATATCGACTTGGAAAAGTTCTTAGTCTGTATATAGTATATATCACCGCTAACATATACATATATAAAAGGTAATTTATTCGCTTATATCTCATTAGGTGGCCAACTTTACCATAATGCAATTCATTTTGCAAATCTTTCGTCCTGCGAAACTTATTCTTATAAGTATATGTTTTCATCTCCATACGCTCAGACTGTTAGCGTAGTATTCGCCAACTTTTACATTAATCTTTGTTGGATAATCAACGACTATAACCTTAACAGTTAATGAACCAAGCTTCACTTATCTTAATCTAGAGTAAGGTTTCACTTCGCAACTTCAGTGGGAAATCCATGCTCCATTTCTAGTTACCTACTGATCTACAAATCGGTTGAATTATTTTTAAAAAATTACTTTTTTGTATGTGGGGTAACCAAGCCATACCTGAGTTCCAAAAGTTTGTCTGTCTATGCGAAATTCATTATTTCGGCAGACATCTTCTGAGATGTTAGTATTGATGACTTTTTGGCGCATTTCTGATTGTCGAGCACATTATTGATCACTTGCTCTTTTGCCTAAGTGTAGGTTAAATGGTTTGATATTTTGCATTTTGCTTAGGATTAGATATCTTAATCGGGAAAAGTGAATCAAAAATATGTGTGTGGACCAAGTTTCCGTTTTCTCTTTCAAGTTCTATAACCTTTCAGGCGACAAAAATGCCGTCTTTTAGACGTAAACTGCTAAGAAGATGTGAAAGTTTATTTCAATGAAGTTAAGGCGTACGCCATAAGTTTTCCGATGAGTATCTATACGATATGAAAAGATTTCGAGAGTGTGAACATAAGGACCAAGTGTATATATGTACGTGATACGTAACATTTTGATTTCTTTTCAATACATATCTATATGTATGCATATGTATATTATCCATGTATATATAAGTTCACATATACATATATCGCAAAGGTTTAGGCGAACATAGTTACAGAGACGCGAAATTTTTTCGCTCATTAAGTTACTGTGTATGCAAGAGATACTCGGAGAAGTAGCGATGAAATGAAAATAGTGGTAAGATGGACGGACATAGAACACTACCCCCGCATGACTTCTCGATCTGGGTGGGAATGCAAACCCGAAATCATTTCTTATAGTTTACATCGACATTTTTCAAGCGTACACGAGTGAATTTTTAAAAAATAATTACTTTAGCTAGCCGACGATTAAAAAAAACCAAGTGTTAAGAACTTAATATTCGCTTTAAAGTGAATTTAATTTTCTTCTATTACTTTTTTTTGCGGTGGTATTGCGTATTTTATTTTCATGCTCTACTGTTTGCTGTCTCCGTAATCGCGTCTTTTTTTTTTATTTTTTTGTTTTGTTTTGTAAACAACAGATACATATGACTGTGTATTTCGTGGAAAACAAACTATTTGATGGAATGTAATTTATGTATATGTACGTACGTTTAACTAAACACATTCACACACTTACATTTGAAATAAGTCATTCTTTTATTTATTTTTCATTTTGCTCTGAAGAGTTTCCAAATTAACTCAACTCTTTCCATGCTACTGCATTTTCATTGTTTTTGTTATTGTTAGTAAAGCAAACCAAACTAGTGTTGATGTTTATTTGCGATGGGGATTCTCTCTACTTTTGTACCCACTAGTGAAAGTTGAGAGGTATATTGATATTATCAAAATATTTGTAACGCCATAAAGTGAACCTTAGATCTTCCATTAATTGCAAATACTTCCCGCTCAAGATAATGCTGTGGATCAAGACAGGCAGGCCTTGCAGCTCATTCGTGCGTCTGTCCTTCTGTTT